ATAAAGTTGATGGGGGTAGGTAGTAGGGTGGGTACATATTTAATTTAATTTAAAAATATTATTATTAATATTAATTGTGAAATTAAAACCTGATTTTTTATTAAATAAAGTAAAAATCTGATTTTTTAAAAGTCAAAACTAAATAGTTGGTTTAATGTAATTTCCACATTAATTTGGGCGAAGTATAGCCCCGCTGGGCTTCTTTCATGGAGTAGATCACTTGGATCATTATTCTACACATATTGGGTGGTATTTGGACTTTACACGTGTAGTATTTTGGGTTTTAGGCTCAGCCTCTTTTGGACTACTGATGGGTCCTCTTGAAATAAGCCCATACTTGTCGGTTAGCCCATATTTTGAGCTAATTTACCGTTATGTAGTTGCACCTTGTTCGTTATTCTTGAAGTTACATGGGTGGCGAGTTGTGAATGAGAGCTTAGTCTTCATATGAATATGCAACTTCGGATTAACGTTGCATATTCAGCTCTTGTTGGCTACCGTTATTTTCTTGATCTGCCCAATTGGTCTATAAAAATTCATTATATTATCACAAAACCACATATTCGGTAACTTATAATTTAGCCCCGTTTGACAACCATTAAAATGGGAAAATGAGTTTTGAAATAATGATTTTTTTTAATAACGTGTGGTTAAAAAAGTATGAATTTTTTTTGAATTTACGTGCAACATATTTTATTGTATTAATATGTAGTTTAAAATTACTTTGAGAAAAAATATTTCTGTTTTAATAATTGTCAAACACGGATTTAATGGTGAAAGTCAAATATTAATTTAAATATATATTTATCTTTTTTTTTAATAACCGTGGATGTCCGAACCAGGTTGGGCGCACTTCGACTACTTCTACGGGCCCTGAAATTTACTGCCGGGTACTTACCTTAGTGTTCCTAAGAGGACTCGAACTGATGACGATTGGGGGAGCAAACTCAATGTCTGACCAATTGAAAATTTAAATATATATTTATCAATGTTTTAAAAATCGATCGGTCAAAAGGTTGAATCGGAGATTTTTAAAAAATTAAAAAAAATACTTTTACAAAAACTAAAAAAATATACATTTACATATGCTAAATCGATTAAGTCGGGAACAAATCACGGGTTCTTCAAAAAATCAGTCGATTTAATGGGTTTTAGGACGGTTTTTAATTAGAGGTTTTATAAGCCTAACCGACATGTTTGATCCGTGTTCCTGATTTTTCATGTTAAATCGATCGGACTGATTTTTAAAACAATGATATTTCTAGAACCTACGACCATCGGCACCTGAAGTTCTAGGTTCCACCACAGACTTGTTTTGAATGTCTCTTCTTTGGGACTTCCCGTTTTTGTTTGTGCCCTCTTCTCAACTACGTACATTGTCTTTCAAATTTATCCAATTATCCATTACTTATTTCTATCACATTTTCAACAGTTCATAATTTTATCCAAACTACTGAGGGGACTCGAACTGGTGACCATTGGAGAGCAAACTCAATGCCTGACCAATTGAGAATTTAAATATATATTTATCAATGTTTTAAAAATTGATCGGTCATCAACTCAGAAAAGAGAAAAGATCAAGGGTCAAAAGGTTGAATCAGAGATTTTTAAAAAATTGATAAATATATACTTTTACAAAAACCAAAAAAAATATACATTTAAAATTTTTTAAAAATATACATTTACGTATGCTAAATCGATTAAATCGGAAACGAATTACGAGTTCTTCAAAAAATCGGTCGATTTAATGGGTTTTAGGACGGTTTTTAATTAAAGGTTTTATAAGTCTAACCGTCATGTTTGATCCGTGTTCCTGATTTTTCCTGTTAAATCGATCGGGCCGATTTTTAAAACAATGATATTTCTAGAACCTACGACCATCGGCACCTGAAGTTCTAGGTTCCACCACATAGACTTGTTTTGCATGTGTCTTCTTTGGGACTTCCCGTTTTTGTTTGTGCCCTCTTCTCAACTACCTACATTGTTTTTCAGATTTATCCAATTATCCATTACTTATTTCTATCACATTTCCAACAGTTCATAATTTTATCCAAACAAGGACTATGGATTCAGAATATCCTACGGTTAATACGGCATTTACTGTCATCCAAAGGTCACCAAACCTTCTCTCTCATTTCAGTACAATACGACACCCATAAGGTAACGCGTGTCAATTGTATGTATCCCACAAAAATCACCAACTTTTCTCTCCCTCTACAAACCTCAATCTCTCTCTAAACCCAAAATTTGTGAAGGCAATGTCTGCAACAATGAAGTTTAAATATAAGGATCAAGTGGAAGTAGCCAGCAATGAGGTGGGTTTTGTTGGCTCGTACTATGAGGCGAAGGTGGTGAATCAATTGCCTGGGCAAGCTTATGTTGTGGAGTACCTTAATCTGATAGAGGACGACTTTTCTGGGCCTCTAAAAGAGATCGTCACCGCCGCCGAGGTCCGCCCACCGCCGCCTGCGATTCCGGTGGCAGGGTTCAAATTGTACGATCTGGTGGATGCCTTTGACAATGATGGATGGTGGGTTGGAAAGATCACTAGGAGGATTGGAAATAAGTACTTTGTGTATTTTGAACGTTCCTCCAAGGATGAATTTGCTTATGATTTTGAGAGGCTGCGACTTCATCAAGAATGGGTTAATGGCAAATGGATTATTCCCTAGAATACACGATTACTCTGAAATCTTCTTCCCCTTTTTCCGATCCGTTTCTTGTAGGCAAGTGTGCTTAGTTTTGATTTTCTGGGATGTATTTCAATCTGTAGGGCTTGTAGCTGTAGTCACGAAGAATGATCTCTGTATGTCTACAGTTTTTGCAGTAAGTAAATATTAATATGATTTTCAGTTGGATCCTTAATTTTGCCCTTTTTCTGTTCATCCTTTGGTTTTTGTACTAAGATTATGAGTCTTACCTCTGCCGCGGGGTTTCAAGGTTCTGTTTTTCAGTTTGCTTGAATTTTGATATTATTATCAGACAATTTTGATAAGAATTGCTTGTGATTTTTTTATCCCAAAAGAATTGCTTGTGATCTCATTGAAACACACTTATCAGTGTCCAATTACTCAATCATAATGGGTGTATTGAATTGGAAAAAATAGAAACTAATATGATCAGTAGAAAATAATAAATTTTAACCATAACTCTAATGTTATGTTTGTAGAAGAGAAAATGAAAGAGAAATATTGAAAAAATATATATATTAATTTTTTTTTTGTGAAAATATTCCAAAATCTGTGATTAATGAGAGACGAATTTTGAGATTTTATTTTAGTATTTTTTGCTTAAAAGTTAGTACCATATAAATTTTTATAAAAGTCTCTATAGGTATAAAAATTTAAATACCTTAATGCCCTGTTTGATAGGCAACATTTTATGTGGAAGTTAGAAAATGTTTTCATCTTCCAACCAAATTGAATGTTTGATAGTAAAAAAATTTCCATAGAATTTATTTTCCTTCTCACTTCACGTGCCATGTTTTCCCATTTTTCAATGAAATGGTTTTCCTTCGATTTTGTTGTCAATTGATTGTTCAGCTTTTGCTCTTTTTTTTTTGACAATTGAAAAAATTTATAGACACAATGATAAAAAAATATATCACTTTTATTGACAATTTTCATGCAAAACAAAGACAAACGAATGATATTTGGTATTATAATTTTTTTAAGAAATTTTTTAAATTTTTTTTCTTTTTTGCAATTGAAACAATTTCTAGATCCAATGGTAAAACAAATTAACACTTTAATGGACAATTTTCACGAAAAGCAAAGCTAAACGGATACCAAATTTTCAACATTTTTCAGCTGGAAAATTATACCAATCAAACACAATTAATTACAATTCTCAATAAAACAATTTCTAAGCAATTCAATTCACTAGAATTCATTTTCTTTCCCCCAATTTTCCACATTTGCAATCAAACGGACCTTAAGATTTATAGAGACTTTTAAAAAGTTTCAATTAAATACACCGCGACTTTTATAGACTTTTTAAAATTTATAAAAGTCTCAATTGAGTACACCAATACTTTTAAAGAGTCTCCCAAAGTTTACATTGAATATCCATAAATTTTTTAAATCTCAAAAATTATTAAAAATTCCAATTGAATACACTCCCCTAAAATGCATTCTGTCATTTCTTTCAACCAAAATAAAGAAACTAGCCTTGAATTACAAATTAGACGCCATGTCTTTCTATCCAAAATTAATCTTCGTCCCTCAAGATGCTGAGATTATTCTCTTGTCATTTTGAATTCAAGAACATAATCGATACAAATAATTAGTTTGTGCATCTCTCAAGTGGTCCCTTTTGACCGACCGTTAGACCATTCTATTCTCCTTTTACCATTGTGAAAGGCCTCCTTTTGAGAGCAAAAATATTCCTTTTTACTTAATTGATGTAAAATAATTTATTTTCATGAAAAAATTACTTATTTTGAAACTTACATTATTCTTTCTTCTAAGTGAGCTTCTTAAGCTTAAACCAAACATACACTAAAGAGATTTAGAAAGTTACAAAAAAAAAAAAAGTTGAATTTTTGTCCTAAAAGTTGAAAGCGCTAAGCATTTTTGGAATTCCCATGGTTCCAGCTATAAAAGTTTCAACCAAGAAATTTGACTGAATAGCTTTTAAGAAATTTAGGCACATTTTACCACAAATGTTGAAGGGTGAAGTGACTTTTTTCAAAAAGAAAAGTGACTTTTTTTCAAAAAGAAAAGCAATTCCCCGCAATCCATGTTTAAACTACCATCAACCTCGGAGACGCACTGAGGTAAAAGCAAAAAGATAGGAAGAATCTCATCCCATAATGTACAAGTCAACCACACTCGAGTAATTAGGCGAAACGGTTATGTCTTTCATGAATCTTTTAGGATTGCTTAATTTATGGAAATTTATGTGCATGTGAGAGTTACGTCTATTCACCACCACAAAGTGAAAAATTTGTCGTGGCTAATATACCTGACTTTTACATTGTCGATGAACCACTTTAAATTTGTGTGTACATTTTTCGTGTTTCTATTTCATAGTGATTCTTATTGTTTTTGTAGTTGGGACGAGGGCTTAATCGATCATAAATGCATTGAGAAAACAGTTATTTGATCCATATATGCATCTCCGAGTAGCCTTTTCTTGGAGTGTCTCTTAAGCACAATGCAGGCAAAAATGACACTTCACATACAAACCTTTCGGCATCTATGTATTATTTTTCCCTTATGTTTTTATTTTTACATATGTATTGAGTGTTTGGAAGTAAAGAACTTGATATCAAAATGAGTCTATACAAGTGAAAAATCTTTATTATGACTCTTAATTACCCCGAGGGCCAATGGATTTGACAACAAAATGGCTGAAGATGAGCCGCAGGATTGCAGGAATAGCTTCTACTCGTCTGGTGTAGAGTCAAAAGTTCCTGATAGGATTAGATTTTATGTTAGTAAAAACATATGAAATGAGTTTATTATCTCATTTTAATTGGTAAAAGTTTTGAGAAAATTTACCTCGGAATAACAGTAATTTAATGCTGCTGCACTTCTGTAGTTTTGACTAGTGTTTCCCATTTGAGATCACCGGTTGTACCTTGGAAACTTGTTTTTGAGTATTTGCTGCTGCACGAAGATTTGAACGTATATATGGATTCTTTGTGGACATAGAAGGCAAAGTTCGTTGAAGCCAAGACTCCGATGGTTTAATTGGCGAAGGTGGGGGGAGGGGAAACTGTAAACGACTTTGGTGAAAGTTTTCTCGATTTTCTATTTTTCCCGGTTGCTTCTGTAAACTTTCAGTAGCTCCCTTATCAGTCACTTCTACATTTGCCGCAGTAGTTGAATCCTCGTTAATTTCTTGATCAGGTTCCAAAACCTTCGATGCCTCCATTCCACCTTTTTGAATTGAATTGCTGAAAGAAGATTCTGCATTGATGTCATTAAATTTCTGAGAATCAGGCAGCAATTTTGCACCATCTACAGCTTTCAACTTAATGATGTCTTTAACAGAACAATCTACTAAAGGGAATTGATCCGTCATCTTAGTAACAACGTCGTACTCTTTCTCTCTTGAACCAGGCGGTTCCTTCGAGCCTTGCATATTGGAAGAATAAGGTTCCCTGCTAGGAGATTTTACCTTCTGCACAGTATCGACATATAGAGTTTTCTCAACAACTGGAATTCCTGAATATGATGATTCCTCAGAACTGTCCTTCTCAGATAAGAAATCCCTGAAGGTTTTATAGCCCTTTTTATGTGATCCAGAGCCATTAATCCCCTGATTCTTTGTTTCTTTGGAAAGGTTGATGACTTCTTTTTCTTTATTAGATGATTCATCGATAGACATTGATGTACTATGTTTTCGTAGTTTTCTGTGTTGCATTGATTCCTTAGGATTCTGTCTCTTACAAATACTTAAATTGAAGTCATTTCTCAAACTAGTTTGATCACACGCTGAGTTTTGATCAGAAAAATTAGACCTAGGCTGCAGCCAAAAAGGTACAACTTAATCAACAAATGCCTCAGGATGAAGATTAGAGCACATGAGCATAGAGGGGGACAAGGGAAAGAAAGCTACGATTTTTTACCTTGTCGTCACTTTTTCTAAAAGAACTAGCAACTGAAGATCTACCTTGCAATTTATTAACAGAAGACTTTGGTAATCGGGTCTTCATGCTTGTCGCAGTTACAGGATGTATGAGACAGAATGAGCGCTTTAAGCAAAACCGTGGTAGTAACCCGCAAACTGCTGGCAAGTTTCCATGTTGATCGTAATATTCATCACCTTCTTCTTCATCATCGTCTCGGAATTGTAAATAGTGCTTTACAAGAATAGGTCCATGCTGCATCGAAGGCTTTTTTTCTTGCACTATGGGTTGCTTTTTGGTGGCAATTTGAGGTGTGTCGGAAGCCATAGCCTTCGCTGCAGGGAGGAACCGATCGTCTCTAGCCAATGGATCTGTTGAAAAGGTTCCAGATGGTTTGGCATCTAGTTCATCAAATGAACTTACGCCACTCGTGCTGAAATTCAAGAAAACTGATTCACTGCTCGAGAATGTATCAAGTGCGTCTACATATGTTTCATCACTTTCCCCTGAATGAGAACTCTCCTTCTCTATTGTCTTGTTACATCTCTCAAAATTGTTTACATCTTCATCCTGAGATCGAACACTCTGCACATCACAATGAGCATTTCGTGCTTGGCTCTGATCCACACTCGTGTTCATATAAAATTTATCGTAATCTTGCTGGTTGACTGTAGAAGATTTCCCAGGAGAAAGTTTCGGGGCAATTAGAGGTCTATCAGAGATTTCATCGTGTGGTTTGATCTCTTCCTTCGGTCGTCCAGGGAGCTCTTCCCAGTAAAAAGGCACGGTTCCTGGATTCGTTACAGGACCAGATTTCAATTCTTTTTTACAATGAGGAAGCCGAGGTATACCAGGGAGGGATTTGTCTATTTTCCTTTCATTATCTTTCTCCGATCTTCTCACCGATAGAAGTGGCTGGTCGTAATCCAGCTGCTTCTCCTCCATCAGATTCTTCAGCAGCATGATTCCTCGCTACCCTGGAAATACCGTCACCATGTATTCAAACGACTCATCGTCAGAAAACAACTGAATGCTGTGAAATGCTTAATACAACCCAGAAATTTTCCACTAAGTAGTATAATTGTGGGATCAAGTTTCTTACATAAAACACACAAATCAAACCAGCAAATGAAACTCCAATTTATAAAGGTAAAAACAGAGTTTTGAAAATACACAAATTTAGAGACAAAGACTGTACCTGTGAAGATTCAAGAATCAAGAAGTAATCTTAATTTTCTTGGTTGAAGATTGAGATATGAAATGCACTCACGTATGTATGTGCTTATGAAAGCTGTAGATCACGAAGACTGAGAAAGAGGAAGACTGAGAGAAAGAGACGGCAGTTAATACACTCGGGGCAGGGGTTTTGTTGGTCAGTGGATATAATAAAACCAGAGGCATGGACAGTTTTTAATAAGGGAGACCGCCATGTTAGTAAAATTGCATAGGTTAAAACCTCTAATTTTTATAGCAATTTGGTCCTCTAACTTTTTCTCTTAGCGTAATTTTTGAACTTCAATATTTTGTGGCAATTGAACTTTTGGTATGCGGTTTTCATTCATAACGTTATTTTGTGTAGCTAGAAATCAAGTTTTTAGTAGATTTTAATAAAAATTGATGAAATATATGGGGGTGAAAAATTTTGGATCTCATAAAATATGTGGTCAAAATTAATTTTTGATTTTAATTATATTTTTATCAGCTTTTCGAGATACGCCAAACGGCAGAAGGGGGCCATGTTATGGTTAAAAAGCCACGTAATTTTTTTTTGAAGTTTGAGGTGTAAAACGATAAACATTGAAGGTCTTGCCACCTTTCGGCCCAAGAAAACTCCCACTCCCTCTTCCAATCCTCTCTAGACTCTAGTATTGCCTCTCTCGAGTTGATATGTTCCCATGTCTGATGTCTCCTACCCATTCAATCATTTTTTTTTTTTGTATTTACTTTTTCTGATCTTCATTGACAATAAAGGTATAGTGATAATTGTGACAAAATAACTTAAGTTTATAACAGTCCAGTGAACGTTGACCGACCACGATGAACTGAAGATGCTGCAAACTTTATGGACCTAGATGTTAAAAAATGTTGAGATTCATTTGCATGAATTTGATAGGTTGGGAACCTATCCAGCAAATTCTCCAAGATCTGAAAATTTCTTTACTGAAGATTATGAGAATTTAATACAATAATTAGTTTTCAAGTTGTATAATATTTTTTTGGGTTTGATCTTTCGGCCACCTATTTTTGAATTATTCTTGGTGTACGGGGTTCTCACCGAACCCCCATAGAACACTCACATAGGAGGGGTGGATAAATTTTTTTTACTTTTTTATTGAGTTGAGTCCCGCTTGGGACCTACCCTTTGCGAGTATTCTGGGGTTTTTTCTTGTTTTTGGATCATATCACGCATTTCATAATGAAATGGGTCCCTACAAAAGTCACACTCGCATGGTATAATGATTTATTCAAGTGGGATAAGTAATTATAAATTTCCCTTTCTAATATATTTCTACAAAAAAGATTTTTTTTTTCCTAGCTAGTATATTGTTTTAGATTAGACTAAAGTGAAATAAATTTCCCACTTAATGCAAAATGATTTTAATTCTTTTATCAAATATTCTCTAAGCAAAGTCGAAGGAAATTCTAACAATACAGAGTTTTTATTGTCAACGAAAATAAGGATAATTAAAATATTTAAAGGATTAAAAAACCTTAGTTGTTTTTATCTAATCTGTGGAGAATGTATAAATGATTCAAAATTGATGTTGATGGAGAAAAGAGAGAATTTGGTAACAATATCGAAGAGAAAATGATGGACAAAAAATTTGAAATGACAAGTGATAAATATGGCATCTCACTCACCTAATTTCAAATGCCATAATTACCTTATAAAATTTGTCAAAGTAACAAGTTAATGTCAACATTAGTGCATGACATAAAAAAACGGTCAAAAAAATTATTTCCTGTGAAATTAATGTAAAACAAACATGAGCTAAATATTGGATTATCATGAGCTTCCAAGAAATTAGGTTTGGCATCCACAATTTACTCGAATGATTTTTTAACACAATAAACAGTTTATCGGGGCTGTTATCCTAAATTTGCATGACACACATCCTTAATAAGATTCGAACTTGAAGAGGAAGGAGATGTCTTATTAAGTTAATTCAAAAAATGAGTCACTCCCTCTCGAGTCACCAGCTACCCGTCTGAAAGAGTTATTCGCTCTATAGTGTTGTCATACAAGATAAGCATGTATTCCGCCTGATGGTCGGGCAAATCGAAGGCAAAAGTTTGTAAAGGTAACCTTGTTATCCACACCTATAGTCAAATGAATGGAGAACCGAACAACCGACCTGAATTTTCACGAACATTGATGATCCTAGACTCGTACTCATGGACCAAGCGGATTGCTGAATCCTGCATCAAAGTCTTATCACCTGTGCTCGCTTGGTAACATAGTAACAAAAGAGCTCGTAAAACCACGCATACTTTGTCCTTGAAGTACTTTCAATTTGCATATAATTAGCGTTCTTTTTGAGATTCTTGATTATTGACATAATAATAGGTTCAACAAGGATAAATACAAGTTAATAACACTCGAATTTGTTAAAAAAAATTAGATGAAACAGAAGTTTAAACATGTATGGACATTCAACTTTCCGAATGAACGGTTGGAAAATCAATGATTCTTACATTATGTTCAACATTTCAGCATCATTTATGTCATTGTGTGGTATGTCTAATTATTAGGCAGATCAGCTTTGGATTTCTCTTTATTTGCCAACTCAAATAAATGAATGATTAGCTTGGCATTATGTTTTGCTGTCTGTCCACCTATTATGTTAATGTAAGAAAGGTAAAAATACTTTTAGTTTCCATTCAACTACAAGAGTTGTTGTGATTTTAGAGTTACTTGTGCCAAGACTTATTTCCACTGACTCGTTGAGCGTTGCTAGACCGTCATCTTCTAGTTTCAGGGAAGAGGTTGCCCCTTTCTCTCCTTGCGTAGTTCGATTTTGTGTCACTTCAATGTGTACTATAGGTTCGGGTGTAACATCTATCTATATCACCAACGTGGTCATACGAGTAGCAAAGGACCTTGGGGATGTAATACAATATTTGATTAGTCTCTTTAAGCTCAAAGACATGTCTACATCAATAGCTCTTCATTAGCATGGCGTTAACCAATTATACTTGAGATTTTGCATTTTTTACGGTGTCCATTCTCGATCGTTGTGAAGATGTCGACGTTTCACTCGTCGAATGCTCCAATTGGATTCATAAGGGTAAAATTTGTTTCATAAGGAGAGCCACAAAAGCCGAAAGGTGAAAGGTAAAATGTCTACATAAACAGAGAAAGGACTTCCTCAAACATTTTCCTCCTCATTTAATGTTAATTATGTGAGTTTTCCAATGTCACTTATCAACTTTATACAAATCACTGTACATGGGCTGAAATCAAATGCTTCTATAAGAAAGAAAGCCCTTTGGGCCTATCAAATTGTATGTTTTGAAGAAGCTAAAAATTTATATATAAGAATTTAACTATGATCAATTTCAAAACTAAGAAATAAGATTTAAACTTCAAAAATCAGACATTAAATTTTATTTATGAAATTATTAATTAAAAAATATTTTATTAATTAAATATATTAAGGTCACAAATTATCGAATTAATTGATTATAAATTATTATTGGGTAACAGATAAAAAATTTTATGGGTCACAAATTATCTCTCTGTCATAGATCATAAAATTTATAGGTCACAAATTATTCTCGATCACATATCAAAATTTTTATAGATCACAATTTATTTATCGATCACAACATTAAAATTTTTATAAGTTACAAATTATTTGACGATAACAAATTATCAAATGAATCGGTCACAAGTAATTTCTAGGTCATAACTTAGTAAATTGTGAGTCGCAATCACATTTTTTAGGTTACATATTATTTATTGATTACAAATTAACCAATTTATTGGTATCAACTAAATAATTGATCACAAATTATTTATTGATCACATATTAACAAATTTATGGTTACAATCAACCAAAAACTTGGTTACAAACACTCCCCATTCCCAACACAACCTCACCCCATCACACCACACCACACCACCCCACACCACACCACCCAACCAACGATTCAATTACACCACCACCATTGTCGTCGTCAGTGCCACCAACCTACCACTCCACGTTGACAATCCCCACAAAAAAATCCCCAAATCTGCTGTCGGACACCACCACCATGATGCCACTGCGAGCGGCGCTGCAACAAAGAAGCCTCGTCGAAGCTGCGAGTAGCTTCTGTTGGCGACGCCACATAGAAAACCCCGTCGACGGTAATGCACGACCTCGTGCAGTACTACTCTGTCGTCCAGGCATCTGGAGACGACAATGAGATAGAGAGAAGAAGAGGTAGAGCAGAGAGAAAATGAATTAAGGAGGAAGGAAATGAATATTAAGGTTTTGGGTTTGGGTATATAATTAATTGAGTTTTATAATATTACTATTTAATATTAAAATATTGTATTATCATTTGATTTTTCTATATGTAAACTATAATTCTGATTTTTGAAATGCAATCTTTAATAGTATGGGCTCCATGTAATTTCTACTTTGAAGAAAAAGAAACTACATGTTAATAGGAATGTTGAAAGGATGGGATCGAACTTAGTATGTAGAGACTAGATAATACTAGACAAATTTTGTGTGATTCAATATTTGCTGCATTGAAGATTAGTTGAGTCAAGCAAATGGTATATGATTTTGAAAATCTGAAAAATTCTGACATGTTCATTGGTACGTGAGTTTAGGAAGAGCTCAATATAACATAAGAACATGGCCTTTATGTAAAAAAATTTACAATTTACAAAGACTTTTACGAATTCATTATAAGATATAGGATGCATTTAGATTTTAGACCAATTTTAGTATATTTCTAGGCATATG